TTTGCAATAAGATTTTGGTATTTATTATAAAGAACAAATAGCTTATGATGGAAAATAGATCCTGTTTTGTTTTTTTCAAAACATAACAAAGTAATTTCATGATTTTAATAAATGAACATTAAAGGGGACTAAATATTTTAGGCACAGAAAAAAATACTAATGATGCAAATTCTTATATTAATGAAAACACAAAGGGGACTTTTGAAAAATGGAATCAGAAAATAGTAGTCATAATATCAGCAACATCAGTAATGATAACTGCTTTTATGGATAGATGTTATTAGAGTAATGGCTAATGTAGAACAAATTTTATCTGACAAAATAGAAGTGGTATCATAACTTAATTTACCGTCAGGCAAAGCGAATAAGTTACAAAATGATGTTTCATTGGCTTTACCAAAGAAATTGGCTAAGATTTTAAAATTTAAAAGGGAAATACAAATCACAAACTTTGTGAATGACCTGGAGAACTTTTTCCTATTGGATTTACCAAAGCGGATTGTTATAGCCTTTAAGAATTCTGCATGAAGGAACAACACAGAAATGAAATCAAATCCTGCCAATATCTAAGTGTTTGGCACAAGGAAGGGGTGTGTGTGTGTCATTTTATTCTCAAAAGCACCTGCAGGCAAGGCAAGAAGCAATGGATGGAAACTAATAAAGGAGAGAAGCAACCTAGAACTAAAGGAGCCATTTCCCAACAATGAGAATAATTAATCAGTGGAACAACTTGCCTCCAGTTGTGGATACTCCAACACTGGAAGTTTTAAAGAAGAGATTGGACAACCATTTGTCTGAAATGGTTTAGGTTTTCCTGCTTGAGCAGGAGGTTGGACTAGAAGACTTCCAAGGACCCTTCCAACTCTGTTGTGGTTATTGTTACTAAGTATGAAGGTTGTTAATGAAAAGACTATAAAGTTGATTTATTTGATCAAGGTTAGAAGAATATATGTTGTTACTTTTGGCAATTCTTTAAGCATTTCCTGTTGACACTAGTAATGAAATGTGATGTTTTATGGATTTGTTTATAGAGGTGAGGTGAGATATAGGATGAAGAGATAATTGTTTGTAACTTAGAGGACGTGGAGAATAATTACATTTGTTTGTACTTATTGTGATGAAGGTTAGAAATTAATTTATATTTATTTTGTTGTTGTTATATTCTTGCTTTTATCTTTCTTTCCTCTATTTTGTCTTACACTTTTAGATTCTTTTTATTGTTTTCTTTTTCTTTCTTTTATGTTTTACATTTACTATATTTAAAATATCTCATTATCTCATGTTACACTCAGTTCAAGTAAGCTCTTACTATCTTTATCTCTAAATATAACCATTATGAAATGAAAAAGAGCTAATGAAGGCATATAACCTACAGTTTTTTTACCATGTCAGATTATCAAAGATGCCCTTAATCTTCTCTTATCTTTAACTTGAAACTGTACTCACTTGCATCACTTGCAAAGCAGCTGAATGATACTCAGAGACTAAAAACTGATCAACAAATCATTGTATGCAAATATATTATGTATTATTACATTGTTAAGTTCGTAATACACACAATTATACCATTAATGTATATAAGCCAATCATATTATAAATATATAAAGTATCATATAGCATCTCTAAACCTTAATGCATGCATGACATGTGTATAATTGGAGCTTTACTTGGTGTCGGAATTCTTTGGAAAAAAATATTCCAAGAAATAAAAGTCTCTATTTGTAGATGTAAATATTTAAACTATGCACATCTACACACACAGAATCATTAAAAATCCAAGTGAGTTTCTAACACCCCCCCCCAAAAATATAAATATTACCTCAAGATTGATAAAGGGACGTAGAGGAATTTCCATGTTAATACATTTAAGGTATTTCAAGAAGATGAATTACTGGCATTGTGTGTGTGTGTGTGTGTGTGTGTGTGTGTGTGTGTGNGGCCAAGAGCTGAGGTGGCGCAGTGGTTAGAGTGCTGTACTGCAGCCACTTCAGCTGACTGTTATCTGCAGTTCGGCGGTTCAAATCTCACCGGCTCAGGGTTGACTCAGCCTTCCATCCTTCCAAGGTGGGTAAAATGAGGACCCAGACTGTGTGCTGACTCTGTAAACCGCTTAGAGAGGGCTGAAAGCCCTATGAAGCGGTATATAAGTCGAACTGCTATTGCTATTGCTATTTTCTAACTCAGTCACAAGGCTATTGGACAAAAGTTAAATCCATGCTTGGATTCTTCCATGGCGCACATAGAACGACTGTTCAGGTAAGCAACAGTCTTTCTCCTGTGCACCACTTGGAGAATCCAAGCATGGGACATGCCAAAGCATATGATCAGGTAAGCCAACGGTCTATACCATTATCTGTAAGAAACCAATTACCAGAAGTCTTTAGGAGTTCTTCAACACAGAAGAGATGTATCACTTAACACAAGTTATGATAATATGAAATTTTAAATCATTATTTATTGAATAGAGCGCAGTTGCCTTTGCTTTACAATACATTAATTCATGAATATTGGCTTAATAAATCTCAGTGAGCAAATATATAAATATGGAAGAAACTGCATGATTTAAGAATATGTCACAAAGTACTTGTAAGAAACTTTTTGTTGCTGTAGCCAAAAGGGAAATATTTTGGCATGCTCATAATTTTGGAGATCTTCATAAGCTTTCACATGGCTTATAGAAGTATTATTACTATAATTAAAGTTTAGTTTCTGTTCTTAAACTTATCAGTGCTTTGTATTTATTTCAGAAACAGTTTAACAGGCTGCAAAGTAGATTATAAAAATAATTCTTCTTAAGGCATCTATGTATCTTTTGGGTATTAAAGTACGCATTCCTGATAGTTCATTTTACAGGTAAATAATTGAAACTGAAAAAAATGGAATATGTGACACAAAATTCACTGTCTTTATTTTGAGTTCAAGCACTTCAATACTCCAACGAAATAACAGAAAATCACTTCTATCCTGCCATCCCTTAATAAATGTAAACAATTTGGCTTCTAAACATTAATGCTTGTATGAAACACATACAACTGTTTTGAATTTCTGACAAAAGACAAGGAGTAGGCTTCCAGTCTCCATTATAGGTAGTCTTCAATAGGCAACAATTGTGACCAGCAGCTCTGCTGTTAAGTGAAGCAGTCGCTAAATGGGAAATTATATGACTGTGCCTGTACTTCCCTTTTCCCTGCTGCCCTGCCCTTTGGACTGTTCATTCTAGTGCCAGGATGATTAAAAAGAAGAGAATTAATGTTTGTACAGGTCATTCTTGTTTACAAACTACCTCAACCAGCAATTGTTTGAAATTACCATGGTGCTGGAAAACAGATTTATGACCAATGCCTGCATTTATAAACATTGAAGCTTCCTAAAGTCTTGTGATTGCCATTAGACTCACTGTGCTTATCCTCTACCTGGCCTCTTTGTTTCTTTTCTTTTTTCTTTTTGCCTCCCTTGCAGACAGTGTATATGCAGATGGATAGGAGAGGAAGCGATTACAAGAGAGCCACTAAGACACAATGACAAATATACGGTGCGGACTAAATACTGAAAGGAATGCACTTGCACTTCCGAGTGCACTACACATCATTCCCTATTGTTTCTTGCTTATTCTATTGTAATTCCTTCTGCAATGATGGGGAGAGGATATAACCTCAAATAATTCCCCTGAAACCGAAGCAAGGATCTACTTTCAAGCAACTAATTAAATTAATGGCTGTGAAAAAATTCATTTCCCATTCAAATAATTTACCGATCTTCTATTCTTCCTGGGCTGTTTATTGCAGCTTCATTTCCATCTATGAATCTGCCAAGTGAAAGTTAAGTTATGTGCCTTTTGACTCCTTCAACCTCTTTTGCCTTTTTGGTGAGAATCTGATTAAGTTTGCATTAGGTTTTATTATTTGGTGCTAACAAAGTCCCTGTTGTGTGTCTTGACAGTGGGACACTGCAGCTCTCATCCTAAGGGAATCTATTAATGTCTTTTCTGGTTGATGGAGAGTCAGAAGGTGCAATGTTTTATTCTCTCTCCCTCTCTCTCTCCCTCCCTCCCTCTCCCCCCATCTCTCTCTCTCTCTCTTTTTGCGTAGCTATATAAGGCATATTGAAAGAACCCCGTTCCTGTTTTTGATGACATTACTCAGGAGCTGGTAAATCACGCTTGGTCCAACTGGAGGCCGCTTACTCAACCTCTAGAGGGGTCTCTCCAAGCTGAAACAGGAGGAAGGAGGAGGCCAATCCCTCTTCGCCACTTCCCTTCTTGTGGCAGGGACGCCAGTTCCTCCGCTACCACGAATCGGAGGCACGAAAGAGAACCGCCAATCGCTCCCGCTCGCTTTTCAAGCTTTGAACACTCTTGGGATTAAGCTCCCCAAATAGGCATGTGGGCACTGCAGGCGCGAAGTGGCACCTCTCCACGGCTTCCGACGGGAGGGACGCTTCGCCCGCGGTTGAGAAGCTCGGGTCCCAGCTCTAGAGCAGAGCCGAGAGTTTCTTTGAAGTCGGAGGGACCCTGAAGAGACTTAGCGCAACTGGGAAGGACTGCGCGGGGGTAATCCTGCGTGCGGGAGACATTGGTCTATTTTCACTTTTTATTCGGACTTTATGCGATGCACGAAGTGTTTCACGCACACGCAGAGAGAGAGAAATGAGGACAAACAAGACTTAAAAAAGGAAATCTACAGAACAGAAATGTTGGTGTTGGGCTCCCGCATAGCAGTAAGGCAAATCCAAACAAATTAAATTCTTATGCATAAATCAGCACTGAAAGGATTATGTTCTGGAGAGAAAGAAGAAGCACCGTGGAATTCGTAGATTAATCGACACCGTCGTGTGAAAAGCCGTCCAGCTTCAGTGAAGCCTTCAGTGCAAAGAGAAACTATCCCGCCTTTCTTAATACGCACGCATGAACCGGGAAGGAACCCCGTCCCCGCCCACACGTGGGCGGGGCTTCCTCTTGCCCAATCCCGAGTCTTGCTGGAGAGTCCTCGCAGGAGGCGTTCACTTGGCAAGAGTGCGCCTGTGCAAGTTTTCCCAGCTCTTCTCGAGTCGTTGGGGGCTTGCGTTTTTCGCTGTTACTGTTTGTCTCCCTTTGCGGAGCTTTACTCGCCCACCGTCAAGATGCCGCGGATCATGATAAAAGGGGGCGTGTGGCGGAATACAGAGGTAACGTTCTCACGGTTTCCCAACCGTTTTCGGGGCAGAGTTGCTCTCTTTCTATGTAGGGCCTCTGCGGTTATGGACATGGCGGCGGACAAGCGCATGCGCAAAAGGACCTGAGCTTGCGTGGAAGAGAAAATGGATCTGGCTAGCGGCTGCTTGTTATTAGTAGTATTATTATTAGTATTATTACTGCTGCTACGTCGCCATGGAAGCTTATATCTTGCTCTCCCATGACTCCAAATAAGTATCTACAAGTGTACTAACAAGCGAAGCTAAATCAGGGGTCTGTTTGCTTCTCTGTATTGGGGACTGGAGCTTCGTCTCCGATCTCAATGACAGGTAGTGTACTAATAAGTTGGACAAGGAGTAGGAAGCGCTGGCTCTGGTCCACTGAAGTCTCCTGGGTGACTTTGGCCTTTCTCCCTAACCTACGTCATAGGATTTGTGTTGTGGGGGGAGGCAGGAGAAGGGAAAACGATCTTTAGCTCCTGTAGATACAAATCAAATATACCTAAGTGCAGCATCCAATCAAGCTTCTGACAACCTAGCAGTTCGAAAGCACGTAAAATGCAAATAGAAAAATAGGAACCACCTTTGGTGGGAAGGTAACTGTTCCGTGCGCCTTCGGCGTTTAGTCATGCCGGCCACATGACCACGAAGATGTCTTCGGACAGCCTTTGAAACAGACAAGCACATATGTGCGAGGGGAACCTTTACTTTTAGGATCCAATCTGGATCCGTCATTGAGGAACAGATATTTTAGTCTTGTGAATTTTCGGAATCTGACTGGAGTCAAGGAATAGTTTTCTGTTCTCCCATAGTTTTCTCTCTCTTATATAAGTGCTGATAAGGTTTTGAACCATTTTTGATGGTTGTTTCAAATTGGCCGTCTTGTATGTTCTAACTGTTGGCCAGATGTTAATGCATGGTAGGAAACCCGTGGATCATCACTTCAGTTTCCCTAAACGTGGCCAGGGCTTTAAGAAAGACTGAAGCCAATTCCATGATAGTTCTTTTCTGAAAGAGGGAAAATGTGAGCCTGAAGTATAAATTTATATGAATGTTCAGCTAGGGATATTGTAGCTGGATTGCAAAAATCTATTTGATGTGGCAGAGAATTTTCTCAATGTGTTTGCTGCCATCTAGCCATCATTTGAATGTTTGTATCCTTAGTACATTCTTGCTGTTCCATGAATATGAATGGAATATGTGAGCGAACATTAAACAATTGCATAATTTGGAATGAAAACTTAATTATGTCAATTCTGTTCATGCTTTTCCAGATATTTGTTTTAAATATACATAGTTCTTGACTTATCACCACAAGGGAGCCCAACATTTCTGTTGCTAATTAATACAAATGATTTTTGCCCCATTTTATGAACATTTTTGCCACAGTTAAGCGAATCACTCCAGATCTTAAGTGAATCTTCTGGTTGTTAAGTGAGGAGTGTTCCCCCATTGACTTTGCTTGTTGGAAGCCAGCTGGGAAAGTTACAAATGGTGATCACATGACCCTGGGACAATGCAACTGTCATACATACATGTCATTTGCATTTTGATCATGTGACCTTCAGGATGCTGCAACTATCATAAGTGTGAAAAACGTTCATAAATCACTTTTTTCAGTGCCATTGCAACGTTAAATGGTCAATGAATGAATCATTGTAAATTGAGAACTATCTATAAAGGAGCCAAAGCAGTACATACCTGGCATTTTGCATTATCTTGTCAAAATTGTCTATAAGGAAAAGGCAGGTAAATTGCAAAAAGTATTTTGGAATTCATTTTCACACAGATAATGCATTCAGTTAAATAAGAAGCAAATTGGTTGTTCAGGGTTTCTCAAACTTGGCAGAACACATCATCAACCTGTCAGGGTTGAAAAGCATTTGGCTAGTTGTATATTCATTTGTATTTGGCAGTCATAGGGGAACGTGTCTATTAACAATAGCCATAACTGTACCTGACATTCTAATAAAGAGCCATCACAGAAGTCTGCTCCATCAGTTTGATCTACTGGAACATGGTTGTCCATACAATGTCCAGCTCACCTTCCTCGTGTTTCTTAGTAAACAATCCCAAATCTTTCATTTTCAATTTTATTTAATCTTTTGTTCTTATATTAAGGGAGGAAGGGGGAAAGAAAAGGGTGTGGGTTATGAAAGGGAACAAAATTGACTTTTCGTGAAATCCTGGCTCCATTTTTACAAAAGAATTTGATTGGAACTGAAAACAAAATATATTAAATAAATACTGTAATAAACAAAACTCTTCTTTTCTTTTAAGGATGAAATTCTTAAAGCAGCTGTAATGAAATATGGCAAAAACCAGTGGTCTCGTATTGCCTCTTTGTTGCACAGAAAATCAGCAAAACAATGCAAAGCCAGATGGTAATGTAATTTCATGTAATTTTAAAGTAAATGTTGGTGAGAAATTTAGAAGGCAGAGACCTTCTAAAAGTTAATTACTTCTACAAGAAAAATAGTTTTGGGATTAAACTAATGCCAGTAATACATGGCATTATAAAAAAATATACAAAAGAAAACTAAGCAAGAAATTTATTTCTTAATACTGATATTAAGGGCTGATATTTTTAATGTATTCTTATATTTGATAGAAATTTACTGTTAAGCAACAACATTTTCATTTTGAATAAGGTATGAATGGCTGGACCCAAGTATTAAGAAGACAGAATGGTCACGAGAGGAAGAAGAGAAATTGCTCCATTTGGCCAAACTTATGCCAACTCAGTGGAGAACTATTGCACCAATTATTGGACGAACAGCTGCCCAGTGTTTGGAGCATTATGAATTTTTATTGTAAGTAATTTGTCATTGTAATGGGAGGATAGATTCTTAGATATTGGAAGACTTCCTTCTATAGAAATGGCCTAAATGTATTGAAGAAAACTTTGAAGTGCTTAGTAATAGAGTAGAAATTATACTATTCCTAAACTTTTGCTTTGATTCTTTTTCTTATGGCATTCTGGAAATTGCAGTGATTATTAAATTATGTAATTTTCTTAGCAGTGTTGTTTTCTTATCTTTGAGCTGTTTTTGGTATTATCTTGGTAGAGATAAAGCTGCTCAAAGGGACAATGAGGAAGAAACTGCTGATGATCCTAGAAAACTTAAACCTGGAGAAATTGATCCAAACCCAGAAACTAAGCCAGCGAGACCAGATCCTATTGATATGGATGAGGGTATGCTTGATTTTTTTTTTCAAATTATGTCTCCCTTTGGTCAAAGCAGTCCCTAAGTAATTTTCCTTTTGTGTTTTATGTTTTTAAATTAATGCTTGTGCTATTCACTTACTTCATTAAATCAATAGTATGATAGTTTTATTTACAAGAGGGAGGGGAAAAAAAGAAGGTTGGTAAAGCTAGACTTGAGAGTGTCTTTCTCTTATAAACATAGAATGGGCTGATAATAATGGCCTTGGCCTGGGTTGCCCCTAAATGTGACTTTCTCCCTATGCATATCCTGATGTGCTCATTGTTTTTGAAGAATCTCTGGGAAATACAGTTAGCGTTAGTGTTAGGATACTTGGAGTCTGTGCTGGGTTGCACTTACCATCACTACCGGTTCACTGATTGCACACGTGCATTCCGTTTGCGTGTGCCTCTGACTCAAGCTGCATGTGTGTGCGCAATCCACTCTTACAGAGTGAATAAACACCATGACTAAGAATCCATGTTAGGGATTACATCATGGCGACAAAACATCATTTCTCTTTTTTTATGTCTGCTGATAGTTGCCCTGTTTAAAACTATCTGAGTCTTATTAGGGAGAATGGGTTACAGGACCATCTACCAGGCCATTGTGAGGAATTGGACTGTAACTAGACAGATCTAGTTGAAATGTCAAGGCCTTATGAAATAAGCTAAAGTGAGTTTGATTTTCTGATTCCCAAAGTCCCAAAATGAAAAAAATGAATAGGGTTCTCCAGTCACCAAATTAACAGAATGTTAGCTTGGTTACCTTCGTGTTAGACCCAGAAAGTTTTATTCAGTGTTGACAGATAAGGAGAGATCATACATATCATCCTATACTTGCAGAATGCTACAGGGTTTGATGGTTCCTCCCATTCTGTTTAACACTGCATAAAACTGTTAGGTGACTTCATCAGTTCATGGTTACTTATACATCATGACTCTGGGACAACTTAATGATAGTCTTGGAATCTCCAGTACTTATTCAAAGAGCAGGTGGCAGCTGTGACCAAAAAAGCTTTTTGCACAGGAACATCTAGTGTGCCAATTGCATTTTTACTGGACTGGGGGCTCTTCAGGCAGTCATTCAAGGCATTCAATCACCTTATGATTGAATTATATACAGAGTTGTATATAGAACTGCCCTTGCAGACCATTCAGAAGCTAAGCTGGTCCAGAATGACACACAAAGGCAGTATTGGTATATTATGCTCACACATTCTCACTGCTTCATCAGTTGTTCTAGTTACCAGTCAGCTTCCAGAAGCACTTCAGGTTGCTAATTATTACATTTACACCTGTTCATGGCAGAGCATCTGGCTATCTAAGGAATTGCTTATCTTCATTTGTTTCTGCCCATCCCAGTAAGACCAAGCAGGATGGCTGTATTCTAGTTCTATTCGAACAAGGTCTCCTTGTGGTATCCAGGAAACATTCCAATTCTATTGCAATGGCGATCCTCTAGAACAGTATCCTCCCAGAGACACATTTAGGAAAACTGTTGAAAACATGGTTGTTCTTCCAGACTGTGTGATATGGTGGTCATAGAGTACCCATTAGTTACATATACCTATAGTAGGTGTATTGCTTTTTTGGTTGGCCAGGATCTCTTCACTTACATTTAAATCTATTGGTCTGTTTTTATATATATAAGCCATCCAAACTCATCAAGGAGTTGGGCAGCCTCAAAATTGGTTTGAGCAAATACATGATCTTATCCAATGATGCTGGGTACATTTTAGATTATAGTTTACAGTAGCTTCTCTAATTCATGTGTGTGATGTTGCCAGCAGCCTTGCAATGCAGTTTTCTGAATATTGTCAAAATACTAAGCCTGACAAATTAGAAAGGAGAAGCTGAATGTAGACTGTTGTAGAAAATGGTGTTTGCAGATCTTTTATGCCTGAAAATTTTCATTCTGAGATCCTAGTCTCAGTAATGTAGAAGCAAACTTAAATTATTCTTTAATACAGAGTTAAAATTTTTCCCTTGAATATAAAGTTATAGTGGATATAAGTTAAGAATTGTGTCAAGCTAAATGAGTTCATAATGAGACATAAGTAGAATTTGTATTAATCTATAGGTTTTTTTAAACTTTTGAAAGGCTTTCCTATCCTGTGTTGCCCATTTGTAAATGAATGAATGGTATATTTGTTTTGCAGATGAACTTGAGATGCTTTCAGAAGCTAGAGCTCGGTTGGCTAACACTCAGGGAAAGAAAGCCAAAAGGAAAGCAAGAGAGAAGCAGTTGGAAGAAGCCAGGTAGATAACAGCCTACATCTCAAGTACTTTCATTGTTGCTCTTGTTGCTTCTAATCTTATTTAGAATCATAATCTTTGTTATGATTATCTTAATCATAACAAAGTTTTCATGCTCCAGTTTGGCATAGATAGCTTGGGTTTTTCAGGATTTGTTTTGTATACATAGCAAATCTATGTGATGGGTTCTAAGGCTAACTCTTTGCAGCTCCTAATACATTTGAATTTAGATGAACAGACTCCATCTCCTTCTTTGATCTGATTCACTTTTTGATAATTTGATAATTTGAGTAATTGATGCTAAAACGTTAAAGATAAGTAAAATTGAGATGGGATTTTAGCTCAGCAGTATTATGTTTATCTCCCATTTATTTGTGGTAAAGCCAAATTGCTAGTTTAATGTGATAAAGCACCATAAGTTTGAACATTATGTAATTAATTACATTTAGTGGCTGGAATGTTGAATTTGATTTTGAGAAACCAGTACTGAAGTCTGATAGCGCATCCCATTGACTGATTAGGTTCACACAAAACATACTAAACCAGGAGTTTTAAATAATAGCTTAGTTATAGAGACCTAGCTCACATACAATATTTAAGTAGCCTTGTACATTTATGAGAAAAGTCTGAAATATGTTGGAAACAGTGTTAATTGTAATGAAAGAGTTAATTTGACTAGATAATATGCAACTCTTGAACTTGCCTTACTGGTTTCTTATGTTTTCAGAGTGGATGGGAAAATCATTGTAGTTTATCATTGTACATATTTGGAAGATGTGAGGGACTTTAGTTTGAAATTACCAGATTCTGTATATGAAATAAAATACATCTACTGAATCTTGTCATTAAAGTTGGCGTGCATGTTTCAAAACTTCATAATTGTGATAAAGCTAGTAGAACCAATCACATATTTAAAATATTGAATTTAAACATAGAGTTTTTAATAAGTCTTATTTCACAAAAATCTTTTGTCTTTTAAAATTCAACAATTGACTGGAGATTTGAGGTTTTTTTTTTTAAAAAAAGTATAGATATTCTATACCTATTCCCTATGTTATATTGCCTTTAACATTCACTTCAAATTTGATTTTATTCCTCAGGCGGCTTGCTGCTCTACAAAAGAGGAGAGAACTCCGAGCTGCAGGAATTGAGATCCAGAAAAAAAGAAAAAAGAAAAGAGGAGTAGATTACAATGCTGAAATCCCATTTGAGAAGAAACCTGCTCCTGGTTTTTATGATACATCAGAAGAAAACTATCAGGCACTGGATGCAGATTTTAGGAAACTAAGACAACAAGATTTGGAAGGGGAACTGAGATCGTAAGTAGAATTTGGATTAAAGTATTACATGGAGCAAAATCTTATTTCAAATTCTGTCTGAGGCCCTCACAAAACTTAAACATTGATATTGTTCAAGTTGTAAATGTTTCTCTTCACACAGCAAGAGCAGCCATTTATCTCCTGAGGGTTTCTAGTTGTTTAGGAAAACATGAGGATTGTAGAAGAATGGGAATAATATTATTTTTGCATATAGATAATGATATAACACTTTTTCTCTTGACTATTTTAAAACTATTTCTAGCCCCTTGCATTTGCTAATCCCTATAATTTAAAAGCAATAATAAAGCACTTGTGCTGGATTTTTTTTTAGGGTTAATCACTCATTTTTATCTTCTTGTAAACATAGCATAACTATATTTTGTACAACTTCTTCAAAAGATATCTGAAAGGGCTGCCCTCTATTTGTGCTCCCATTTGTGGCAGCTCTAAAATAATAAATTAATCTTTTGAAAAAAAATCATTTTGATCTTAGAATTTTAACCATCTTTATCAGTGCTAAATCTTTCTGGAAAAAATGGCAATAACATATTTGAGCACTTGGGAACCAGTTCACACTTGAAACCAATTGTGATTATATGATTGCCATTTATAAACTTCTCTACTGGCTTTGCCAGGAAATCAGTGCTTACTGTGGTGGAGAGGCATTTGTGCATTTTACTGCTGCCTCTCCATTCTGGCTGCCTCTGGGCTCTGGTGCTGAAAACCTCCCTGCCAAAAACTAAGCATATTAAATCTCCACTTGTGCAACTGCTTAGAAACAGTGGTGGCCTGGAGGCAGGAAAGGCAGGGCAGGGTAGAGCAGGAAGGAGTCCCAGAGAAAAAGAGCAACAAAGCATGTTCTCTCTCCTTTCCTTTTCCTCCCCTGTCTTTCTCTTTGCCCTTTGTCTGGTTTCCCTCTCTCTTCACCCCACTTTTTTCTGCTCTTCTCCATCATTCTAAAACTCACCCCTCCTCTCTCTTTTATATACTTTTACACTGTTCCTATCATCTCCCTTTTGCTCCTGCTTAGGTACCCAGTGCTGATTTACCTTGCCTTCTCCATCTTCTTCCACTCTCTCCCTTTCCCCCCTATCTTTAGAGCAGCACTAGCAGTGAGCAGCATATCAAAGTTACAGTGATGGCGAAAGAGGGGTTTTTTCAACCTGTCCTCAGAATTCCAGTTGTTTCAGTCCAGGTGCTTGGCACCCACCTGCAGTTATGATGTTGCAGTGAGTCACAGACACATGATTGCATTTTCCAATATTTCCTACCTGCTTTCCACAAACAGAGTCAACCCGGAAGTTAGCAGAAAGTTGGAAGTTGGTCTCATCCTCACTGCTTTTTTGCCCACCTGCACTTAATAGTGCCTGCCCATGGCACTTGAACACCCACTTCTGCCAGTTTGTTTGCCTGAGACTCCCCATTTCTTCCCATTTGACCCGTGTGGTACTGAAATTACAACAGCAACTGGGACATATCCAGGATTGCTGTCACTAGGGTCATGTGATGTTGCTCTCATTCCATTTTGATGAGAAATAAAATATAATACATGCTAATAACCAAGATTGTAAAAGGATTTGCAAACAACTGGATTCATTGAAATTTGGAATATGATAGCTCCTATGAACAATAATCCTTCTATCAATTTAATCTTTTCCTACCCAGTTCTGAAGTATGTCAGATGATCTTTGCAAAACCCTTGTATTTAATTCACTTTTTTTTTTTACTTTTTAGGGAAAAAGAAGGAAGAGAGCGAAAAAAAGATAAGCAACAGCTGAAACGGAAAAAAGAATCTGATTTACCATCAGCAATTCTTCAGACTAGTGGTGTTTCAGAATTCACTAAAAAAAGAAGTAAACTGGTGCTTCCAGCTCCTCAGGTACATTGCTTGGTATTACCGCTAGCGGTTCTTCTATTGGTGTGAAAAAAAAGTCTTCCAAGTTTGTTTAAGAATTGAAACAGAATGCTCATCAGTAGAAGCACAAATTGTATTTCATTTAGTATTGGAGGCTGCAATAACAAACATATAAATTGTGATGCAGTTCCTTATATCAGTGTATGTAAATCAGTCTGTCCCTTTGTGTCTGTGTGTGTGTAATCCATGTGGTCAGAGGTAGTGAGATAATGAAAGTAGAACTATAAAGGCAATGGTTCTTTTAAGAACTAGACAACAAACATCCCCTTGAGTTATCATTTCAGAGACATATCCTTACCTAAACGAAGAAACAGAATGACCAAGTGCTAGCAAAAAAGCAGTGGGAATAGGTGTGATTTCTAGCTTCCCCCAGCTTTCCCATGGAGTTTCTTTGTGGGAATCTGGCAAGGAGCATTGGAAATCTCCCCTTCTCACCAGGTAAATACATTACTACTACTGGGTGGGGAAGGGAGAGATTGTAAGATAGCCTGGGAAACTATCATGGAACATTGAAAATGAAGAAGTAGCACTGAAGAATTTCATTCCCTCAGAAGTCATAGTTCCTAGATATCTCAAGTGGGCTAACTTCCATAGGTTACCCCATTTGAGATGTCTTAGTTCAAAAATTATTGCCTTATAAGGTATAATTTCTCCCATTTAAAGGAATGACAAGAGTTTTAGTAATATATGGATAAGAGATTGTGTATTAGAATAAATGTTACTGTTTAATGTATTATTTCTAAGTGTTATCTGTCTTGACCTTGTTTTCCATGGTTTTCCTCACTTCCAGTTATCTTTTCTCCTTGTTAATGCCATGGTTTACCTTCTAAACGTCATTATAACTAAAATAATCAATTTTGTTGTATTTATTTTGTACAATGACAATAAAGACTATACTGTATGGCTGTATTATTAAGAGATTGGGAAAAGTGACAGGAAGACAGGTGATTTGGTTAGCTTAGATAACACCATTTTGTCCTTCAGATCATTAGGCAAATCTTTCCCCTTTATTTTCTTATTGTCATGGATTCATTTTATAGTTTCTTTTTTCACCTCTCATTGTATATAAAATTTACAGAGTACAGGAGTTTTTTTCTGAGAAATATTTTGCATATAATTTATTGGCACTCAATATTACTGTTCCAGATGTTGGGATTGCTGAGGTTACCACTTGGTGTGAGAAGATATTCTTAACATTTTTAAATGAATAGTAGTTGTATTCATAGGTGATGAGGCAAAGAGGCACAGCATATGCCAGTGATGGGCAACCTTTTTGGCGTGGTGTGTCAAAAATCGGCAAAAAATCGAGCATAACTCAACGTTGTGTGTCACTTCGACAAAAACATAAGACTCTCTGTGCCGGCCTGACTGGAGAGAGGCGCGCACTGTTCCCGCGCTCCTCTCCTGCGGGTCCTCCCTCGCCACGCTGATGACGTTTGTGCGCACAGCACGCACACCTTACCAGCAGCCCCTGCACTCAGAAAGGGGCGGCAGCGATACAGTAAGTGAGTGTGGGCGGGGGAGATCACATGTCCTGCCCCCCCGTTCCTCCAGCACAGATTCTTTCATCCT